AACGGACATATCTCGCATCTAACTCAATCCCATGCAACAAATTTGATATCCAAGTGTTCATTATGGCCCGTTCTTCCTCGACGAAAAAGTACATAAGTGACAATTTAGTCAAAGACGAGAAAACTGCACAAGAAATTTGCCTTATTTACACGTATCGGCAATGCGAGCTGCCCAGCAACTTCCCTTTCTGACGTCACAAGGGGAATTTCTGTATGGAAATGAATAGCTAATGAGGAGCCTCGTTTTAAAATACAAAAAATAAAGTTGCTGTAGACTGAGTTTAAAACACATTTTTTCACTTAAAAAAAATAATTTATGCTTAGAAACATAAAAATTAATAATATTTATGTATTAATTGATAATTTTAGACGTGAAAATAGCAGCCATTTCACAGGCACTTTAACAGTACTTGTTTCTTTAGTGACCAAGCAATGCCGCACGTTGCCTTTTATGAATGCAGCCTACATCGTTACAGACTTTTACACTACATGTGCGTTTTTACATTAATGTATTCCAGGATTTTTTGTCATCAACGGAACTACCGGTGAAATTTTTACCACTGGTGAAATTGACCGCGAAACTGCAGCATACGTCAATCTGGAGGTAACTGCGCATGACGGAGGAACGCCGCCTAAAAACGACACTACCGTTGTGCAGATCACTATCATAGATGTGAATGACGAACAGCCTGTCATTGATAGAGTAAATGTCCCTTACAATATATTCCATGTAAGTGTGCTGGTTTCTATGTATTTCTGCTATCTACTGTGCCTCCTTCATTTTTCACAAAATCTTGTTGACACTATTTTATTTGGAAATTTGGCATTAAATATCCGCTCCCACTATTGCTATTGTCTTTTTATTAGTTTTTGTTATTGAGCTACAGTCAACGGACAAAAACCCAGTTATAGAACAAAAAAACAACAATTATAAACAGAGTATATGGCACAGGAAGTGTCTTGGTTATATATGTTGTGCAATGCATTATATTCTCGTAATTACGCATGACCTTTGTCTTTGTACATTTCTGTAGGATTCCCCAAACGGCACATTTGTTATGAATGTGACTGCTTCAGACCCGGATGAAATTGGAAGCTTAATGTTTTCACTGGAACATTCAATGTATGACGTGCAGACGTCGTTCGATATCGACAACGAAACAGGCGCTGTCACCACTACAAATAAGATGATGATTCAAGTGTACTACGTGAGCATTATTATTATTATTATTATTATTATTAGGGAAATGCTGCAAAGTATGACGTGTTTTTAGGTTCCTTTCCTATGTCCCGACCCTGAGAATGTAAATTGCAACGCACTTTGCTTTTACATTGAGAGAAACTGGTATTGTTAACAGCATTTGGGGTAAATTTAGGCAGCTAGGAGAATCAGTGCTTTGTGTGATTCGTGTGATATAATATGCTTTAATGCCACGCTTACTTGAGTACCATTTCCGTATATGTTTTACAGTTGCTTGTTCATGTCAACGATGGTGTTAACAATGCGAAGAGTGAAGTTTTTAAAGTAAATGTGGTATACAACGATCCGAATCTTAATGCACCGATATTCATACATGACGCTAATACCTGTAAGTACATACAACACTATATATATTAGTGGGTTTTCGATAATACCATCTAAACTTACGCATAGTTAGTGATGGTTAATTACTCTTAAGATTATTAACCATTACATTGATCTCTCTAATATTGGTCTCTGGAAAATGATTGTGATTATCATTTCACAGACACCTAATTAATATCTCCGTATGTTTTTCATACAACTAATTTATGTGTTATTCAAATTTCCCACGCGACTTATAAAAGACAATATAGAATGAATATGTTTCTACCTTCTTCTCCAGCTTACAACACAACTATTCCATACGATCTTCAAGTATATTCAACTTTGAGTGGTCTTAATATTCAAGCTGAAGATGCTGATGAAGGTAGCAATGGCAAAGTCACCTATACAATGGGTGAGGGTAATTTCAGGGTGAGTAGTTTGTCAATTGTTGTATTATTGCACGATGAGTGTTGTGTGATAATTAAGTCGACCCTTTCTATCGTCACATAAGTACATGGGAACAGAATGTCCACATTGTCAAATAACTGGGGAAATTTTTCGGAGAAAACAAAAGCTCACTTTAATTAATACACACGACTCTATAGAGTCAGTCTAATGACGTCTATGCGGAACGATGGCCGACGTCACCGGCCAACCAACGCATAATACGACCTTTATTCTCATTATTTAACTTCCAGCTAAACTTAAGTAATACGATTGGAAGACTCTGACATTCACTAGCCAATCAAATGGTAATATCGCATACTGATGTTAATATTATTAATACAAAATTATGTCACATCCGGGGGTTGCCTTTCACAGCGATTTCGAGCAGTGAAGCTATGACGTGATATAATACGGTACAATCTATTGTTGAAAAAAGGATGCGAGTTGTTGTTACAGGAACGCCGATTGATAGATCAAGCGCCCATTTAATTTTAGTGTGGTCGAACAAAGCTTTTCCTAACACGGGCTCATAAGGACGGTCGCCGAAACCGTACAAAACGGGCGATGTGATATTTTCTGGTTTCAAATAACTGGGCCGACCAATATAATGAGTTCACGTGGGTCAACACGGGCTCCAACTATCAGATGAAAGCTAATACATCATACGTCCTCTGCAATACCGCAATTGAGTACTTTTAAACGATCCACTGCGATAGGATATAGGCCTGATAGCGTCAGATTGTGACATGACAGAAAGTGTCAAGTGTTATACCACCAGGAGTTTTTCAGATACACATTATGTAATTCTTGGAGTTACGCGTATATGTTCTTAACATTTTTGCCAGTAATGCGGTTTTAAACACTGGTTTGTTTACTCTTCAGAAGATATTTGCCATCAATGCGACTTCTGCTAGTATCACTACGCGTGATAGATTGCTGCCCTACTTTGATTGGTATAATTTGACTGTTATTGCATCTGACGCTGGCTATAAACCAAAGTCGAGGTAATATTCACAGTATTTAAATCACGATGACCATTCATAAACATACACATATAAAAACGAATGGTTATTACTTATATTAGTTATTATTGTACTAAGTCTCTACGTACATTATACTTTCAGTTCTGTCACTGTGTATATACATGTTACTGATACTGATACTGATACTACAGAAGAACCAAACACAACAGCATCAGCAGCAGGTTTGTAATTACCTGTTACAAGGCAATGTCGATATATATTGTAATCATGTATATTATACACGTTAATCTTTGAGAATATATTTTGTGAATGACTGTGCATTATACTGTGAAACCATTTATTTTTACTGGCATTTAATTGTACTTATGTTTCACTGGGTTTTAAATTCACGAACTTGGCAGGAAAACAGTGCCTTCTGTTGTTATGTTCACATGGATTTAATTTAATGGATTTCAATGTAAATCGCGAAATTTTAAAAACCGGTGATTATATATTACGTTTTTAATACTGTCTTAACGCAATTTGTGAATTTGAATTTGTGAACTTAAACGATAGCTGAAAGATCCAGAATCACATGAATCACTTTAAATTCTATTATCTTCTGATACACATTTTCACCCCAGAAAGTGGTGCTCAGACGAAGACATGGGCCGTTGCTACGTCATCAACAACTGGAATACTTGCTGCTATTCTTGTTATACTAACGGTTATGTACTGTGTTACGTAAGATTCTGTTTTATTGTTCTTTTATTTATAAAACAGAAAGTGCGAGCATTGTATTTGATTGATAATAACACTGGCATTGTGCAATACTTTGTTATGTAGGATTTTATCACCACATTGTTTTGTTTGTTTTTTACAGGTTAAAGAGAAAATCAGTCCCGGTTCAGGTAATTTGCGTACACCGTGTCAAGTTTATGTTCAACAAATGTTTTATATACCGTTATGTAGTGTGATTATTTCGAGATGATGTAATAATAATAATAATATTTATAATAATTATATGTAAAA